TCCCTGTTTCTTTTCCCTTTTTCCCCTTCGGCGGGCGCAACTTGGCCACTTCCGCCCGATGGCTCCGGGCCCCAAAGCGGCGAGCCTGGCCCGAACGGGCGCATCGCCCAGGAGATCAAGAGAGAGGTCCGATGGAGAGCGAAGGTCTGCTCGACCAAACCAAAACCCGGCTAGGCTTATTATTAATATAATTACTGTAATTACTATTATTGTTATTGCTATACTTATATATATATATATATTCCTCTTTTTTCTTTTTTTGGGGGAAGGGGGGTCAAATCCCGATTTTGATGTAAACACCTCGCCTCGTCTTCTTGTGTGTGTGTGTGTGTATGCAGGGCCATGAGTCTCCGGAGGTGCGGGGTCTTTTGTCTATAGGAAACTAAACCCAAGTTGCCCAACTTATGACCATGGAACAATCTGTACGTGATGTTGCTTCATTCAAGCAGCATGCTTGTTTGCGGTGTCAAACAAAGGGCCTTTTGGGACCCGCTTCGGTTTGTCTTCAATCAAAGTACCTCCTTAAAGGGTATCAAGGGATCTTCAGGGAACGCTTGGTATGTCTCATACTGGGTTGCGAGGAAAAGGAATTCCCAATGCGTAGCACATTTACAAGTCGCTCATTGCTTCAGGAGGTCAAAGCCAGCTTCACCGTCTCCAAAGAAGGCGCTCTCGCCGGGGGAAGCGAAGTGCGTGCTTATCGAGTTGGTTCTCGATTGGTTCGGTCAGACATTCTGGTGGTCTATGGTTACTTTTTGGGAGGGGACATTGGGGGAAGGCACCAAATTTCCCAAACACCAGGCAAATCACGAGCTGTCTTTCAGCCAGGAATTGTGAACTTCGGCTCTCTTGGGGAAAGCACGCGCTATCTCGAGTCGACCGTTTTGTTCTGGAGGGACCTCCAAGCAGCCTGGGATTCCATCCGCTAAAACAAAGGTTTGGTTAATCTGGAACAGACTCCGAACATGTCATCTTCAGCGTGCCCCAGATGTGGGCCAAGCTTGTTGCTTCTCTCTCTCTTTCTCTCTCTTTTTCTCTCTTTTTCTCTTTCTCTCTTTCTTCTTTCTCTCTTTCTCTCTTTCTCTCTTTCTCTCTTTCTCTCTTTCTCTCTTTCTCTCTTTCTCTCTTTCTCTCTTTCTCTCTTTCTCTCTTTCTCTCTTTCTCTCTTTCTCTCTTTCTCTCTTTCTCTCTGTCTTTCTTTCTTTCTTTCTTTATTTCTTTCTTTCGTTCCTTCCTTCTTTCCTTCCTTCCTTCCTTTCTTTGTTTGTTTCTTTCTTTCTTTCTTTCTTTCTTTCTTTCTTTCTTTCTTTCTTTCTTTCTCTCTCTCTCTCTCTCTTTTTCCATGTACCGTTCAGGAGTGTCATCATGGAATGGTTGAAGCCTCCTGTCAGGTCACAGCTTCTTCACCCTTGGAGCGCTCTAGCTGCATCGGTGATCCGAAACGGACGGGAGCCGCCGCGGAATTTCTGTTTCTCTGAAGCCAAAAGGTTGGGGTAGGTCGTCACAAACACAGATGTATATAAAGATATATATGTTCCATATATATATAAATGTATAGCCACGTGCATATGTAACAAACCAATTGACGTGTCCGCTTGTTTTGCAAAAGGAATCGGTCCACCAAAATGGTTCGTTTCATTTTGCTTCCCGTAAAATACCAAGACCAAGTACAAGGGGCCCGGGATCCATTTGGAGAAGCTCCCAGTCGAAAGCGTGCCGGTGTTGTTTTGCATGAACAACTCTCACCAACCGTTGGCAAGTTCAACCTTTCAGCGAGCTCGCGTGAAAGTCCCTTTGTGAATTTTGGTTGACGAGATTCCAAGTTACCCCTTCAGGGGGTCCGTTGGTTGCTTGCCCAATTCTGCGCCCCTCGCGATGCGCAACGTTGAGAATTCACCGTCATTTTACATTCAAGGCACGAACACATGGAGGTTCACCAAGTGTCCGATCAGACTGCTGAATCCAGTGGCTCGTGTCTTTCTTGGCTTGTGGAAAACTGTGGTGCAGCTTTCAAAAACACATTTTGGACGTCAGGTCCAGAGATCGGGACCCCGAACCCTAGGGCAAACCCGTTCCAAATCGATTTGGCAGATCGTGGTCATGGCAGGGCTGGAAAGCCAAGGGGCTCCAAAGGAGATTTCGAATTCACCCACTGGCGGGTTTTATGGGGTGGGAGTGTTAATTTGTGTAACATCTTCACTGTTGTTGGCACGTGCTTAGTATCATTTTTGTTCTGCTCATTTCTTGTGGGCTGCAAAAGACAAAGTGCTTTACTACCAAGGGTTTCAAAGACATGGGAATGATTTTCGTTTCTGTGGAAGGCCCGTTCCATGTTTGGTGGGAGAGCAAGGCACGAGCTCTCCAGGGCATTCGCAGCCACAGACCGGGAGAGGCCTGGCGGCCAATGGCAAGGGGGTTCCTTCAGAGAATAGACACATATATATATATATATACACATGCATCTTTATGGCTATTTGGTTGGATCTTTGGACTTTGACTTTGTCGGGAATGTTTGTTTTTTCACTGGACCGACAAGTCAAACTTTTTGCGGAGGGGTCAACAGCAACCAATTACATATACATATATATATATATATATATGTATATACATATATATATATATATTGCACGATCAATATACATACATAACATAACATTGCGATACATTACATTCCACCACCTTACACTACCTTACACTACTCTACACTACATTACATTACAACGTATTCCACTGCGTTGCATTGCGTTGCATTATATTGCATTGAGTTGCATTACATTAGGTTGCATCGTGCATCGCGTTGTGTCGAATTACATTGCACTACTACTTTGTACTATACAATTTCTTTACATTACATATTGCATTGTACCACATTACACTACTACATCACATTGGATTGCGTGGCATTATGTTACATGGCATTGCGCCACGTCGAATTGCATGACATTATGTTACATTGCACTGCGTTGCGTTACAACAAATGCACCGCTACATTCCATTCCATTCCATATCAACGCATCACATTGCATTGCATAGCATCGCATAGCATTGCATTTTGTTACATGTGTGTGTGTATATATATATATATTTCTGCAAGTTTGGTAGGACTCCACACACACACACACCAATGAGCAAAAAAGAGGTGTCCAAGCCAGTTGAATATCTTTTGGACGGGTTTTCGAAGGTTTCCATTTGATGGGGTGATGATTCAAGGAGCAATACCAAGAACCCTGTTTGCCTCCATAAAAAATAAGTCTTACCTCCTTCAGTCTCCAGCGCCAGAAGGGCTTGCGCAGGTCCCTCCTTGGAACTTCCGGACACCTTTGAAGTGTGGAAACCCTTCTTGAGGTCCCTTCATTATTTGTCTTTCCTGCGGACGGCGGGTTTACCATGCCTTTTGCTTGACAATGTTCGCGAAGGAGATTTGGAAGGAGAGGCGAGCCTCTTGAAAACGGGGCAGCCTTGCACGCATGTATTTGGTTCGCGGACCGAACAAGTCGCCAAGTCGCCACTTTGTTTTACTTCTCAGTGGTCCAACACCCACGTCGTCTTTGAACCTTGTGTTGTTTTTCTTTTTTTCCCCATTTTGCAGTCCATATTTGTCGTCCTTTGGTCCCAAAAGGTGCCGGTCCAAAGTGTTTCGCGAGACTCAGCCGGGCTTCAGCCCGAGGGCTTCGACCCCCCCAAAAATGGGCCGATGTGTCGAGCTTTAGGATTTGGACATTTCAACATGGACTTGGGGGTGTCCTTTTGGTTTTGCCTCCCGGAATGAGTGCGGAGCCTCAAAAAAGATAGAGCCAGATACATGAAGCCCAAAGGAACCTTTGAGGAAACCAAAGGGAAACAAACAAAAGGAGCCACGAACCCACAAGAAAACCAAAAGAACCAACACACAAAAGGAAGCCACACACGAAAACACCGGGAAAAAATCATGGATCCATCGATTTCGCGACCTGCCAGGAGCAATCTGAAAGTCCAAGAGGTTGAATGGCACGGTCTGCAACGCCAGCTCTTCGCGTCGATGAAGGCAACGCCTCGGTTGGGTGTGGATCCCCCGGTTTCCCGGTTGCCCTGATAAAAGAAACCTCAAAAAGGGTAGCCTCAAGAGATATCACATCAAAGAGAAGCCACAGGGATAACCAGGGTCCCCCTTCTTTTTGTGGGTTTCCCAGGTTTGAGACGAACCCGGTTCCCAAAACGTGGGGGGATCTCCCCTCCCTCCCTCCCCCCCCTCCCTCCCTCTTTTGTCGGACTTTGGGGTCCAAGTGTTTCTGGGAACAGGTGAGAATCTCGGCTCAGGGGATGCCAGCTTCCACGGGCAGCTTTGGATGGCCAGCGAGTGTTTTTTGCTTTGGTCCTCAAGGACCACGACGCCTTTTGGGACCAAAGCAACTTGAAAAAGCATCCGTCCGGCGTGGATCTCAAGCATGGCGAATCGTTGGACTGTCCACCGCATGCATGTATACTGTGTAAATATATCTGCATATCTATATACATACACATACACATATATATATATATATATATGTATATGTATATGTATATATATATAAACATGTACATATTGGTTTATTTTCTATGCGGGTGTGTCGTTTTTTTCTTCCTCCCCTCCCCTTTTTTTGGTCCGTTTAAAAAAGGACTCCGTCAGGATTTTTTCTTACTTTTGGTTGCATCCAAACTGAGACAGGCCCAACCATATTTTTCCCAATGGGCTTGTCTACGGCCAGATTCAGATACCCTAATGGATTCCAACGAAAAAATGGGCCACCGGTTTTCGAAATGTCGCCTCCGGTTAAAAGGGGGTCCGGAATCCATGTTGACAAAGGGGGACTGGTGGGTTGGTTTCCTTTTTCCCCTGATCATCCAAGCTGGCGGTTTCCGCGAGCAATCAGGGCTCTCCAATTTTCAGCTACGAGTTCTTTTGTGCCAAGTACCCTTTTCTGGTTAGTTTTAGCGGGAAAAACCAGCAGCAACACCCACCAAGTGTGATACCCCCGAGTTGGGAGAAGGTACGGGTCAAAATTAAACCACCAGGGGACCTCAGGTTTTCGTCCATGTTTCCACTTGCTAGAGTTCCATTTGGGGTACCTATTTTTGGCCCACAGCCATGTCGGTGCCCGGCTTCGTGTGCCGCGAAGCCTTCCGGGCGGCGCGGCGGGTCTGCCGCGGGGAGATCTTGCGGCGGGGCGTTTGCGAGGCACGGGGTTGGTGGGAGGAGTGGGGTGAGGTCGGGTGGGTGGGGTGGGGTGGGGTGGGTGGGGGTGGGGTGGGGTTGGGGTTGGGGTGGAGTGGAGTGGGACTTTTAGCTGGATATCTCACCGTGGACTTGTTGGGTGCTTCCAACGGGAAACCGGACTCCCCTACGCCCGGTGCACAACAAGCTCCCCCGATTAAATTTCACGTGCCCGAGCTGGTCAACGCACAGAAGATTTCCCAGCCTTGACCAGCGGGCCTGGTTCCTCCAGAAGGGCTGTGAGGATGGTGGAAGCCTCTTGTTCGGTGGGCAGACTTTCGGGAAAGGTTCAAACAAGCCCCCAGGGACTCCCCCCTCTATGTGGGGGGTGTCTTTCTTTTGGGGACCCCAACATGGTGGTTGTCCTTTGGTTTCCCTCAACCCCCCCGAACAAAGACAACGAAAAGAAAGACATCATCCCTCACCTTTCGAGGGTCTGGACCCAAGAATCCCCAAGATGCCTTCTCCAGGGGACCATGCCTTCTCAATGCTTGGAACTGCTCTAAAGGGCGCGTTTTCCCCAGACATGAATTTAAGGGATGGTTGCTTTGCCCGCTGACCCCCCCCCAACACGAAGGTTCAACGCACTGAGTCCTCTTTCTCTTTTGGCGCTGTTGCCCCTGGGACTGGGAATGGAACCCTGTTGTTTTCCCTGTGCTCAAAGACCAGCTAGGATCCCCAAGAAATCAAACAGGGGATTCGATCAGGCCGACGCAGAACCGGCTGGGGGGGAACCGCCCGAAGAAGAAGAAAGAGCAACAACTGAGAAGGCACGATACCCCGGGGAAAAGCCGATGTGCGTTTTCACTGTAAGGTACCTGATTTTTGGCCATAGGCTTTTCCCAAGTGGACAGTGCCTTCTCAACTCTTCTTTTTTTAGAAAAACAAAAATAAAAATGAGCGAGCACGCAGAGGTTGGGGGAGCACGCAAACCCGGAGAAGGCCCGCAAAACCGGAGAAGGCCCGCAAAACCGGAGAAGGCCCGCAAAATCCGGAGAAGGCCCGGAGAAAAATCTGAGTCTGTTTTGTTTGGCGATGTGTGACGTGCAAATCCGCATCCGTGGCTGCTGGTGATGCCTGTGCTGCTGCTGCTGATGATTTGATGCTGGTGATGCCTCTGAACTGGTGATGCCTACAAGTATCTAGCCAGAGCCAAGGCTGACAAACAAACATGCCAGCCCTTGAGAAGGCACGCTTATCTGGGGGAACCCGCAAAATCCAGAGGACGCGTGTCCAGACTTCCGAACCTTGAGCCAAAATCAAAATTCCCGGGTAGATGAAGATTGGTAAGTGATCGGTGCCACACCGATCGGTGTATTGTGCCTCTCTTCAGTTTCAACCGGCTCCCTCTGTCTCCCCCGACCGGCTCCCTCGACGACTGAGAGCCACAAAGTGAAGGGTAGAAGCTACAATCCCAGCCAGAATCAGGTGCGGAGATCCGCCTTTGTGGTTCTGAAAGCATTGGTTTGGGCAGACCAGCTGAATTTTCCGATTGGTTTTGATTGTGACTCAGGTGCCAGGCTTCCTGCAGCCCTGGGCGGTAGCCAAGTGCCTCAAAGCGGCGGAAGCCTTGCGCCGAACGAGCGGCGGCTTCCGGTCGTTTGAGGAGCACAACGTTTACTTGGAGGCGCCAGGACAAATAGGGGGGGGGTCCTTTAAGAGGGAGGCTCGGTGAAAACCTGGTGTGGTAGAGGGAATCGAAAGGACAACTCGCCATTTATTTTGTTGGGCCCCCTGAAAAAAAACCGGAAAGCAACTCCTTGGGGAAGGGGGGGGGGGGCAGGGATTGCCGGGGAGCTTGGGGGCGATTGCTTGGGGGAAGGGATTGCGGGCAGGGGGTGGGGGGGGGGGGGTGGGGGGGGGGAAGGAGGAATTTCCTGAAGTAGTTTTTTGGGAGTTAAACATGCCTCTTATTTCCATGGGTTGTCCAGCTGGCAGAAGTTTGCTGGTTTCAACCATTTAGCTCTGGGGGTTTACCAGGCGTTCATATGGGCGTTCTTTTGGGTTCCCGATTCAATCCCCTTTCCACGGTGTTTTGAACATCATCATTTGGTGTCATTTTATTTTTTCAGAGTGTTCTCTGCGGCGAATTCAAATTCAAATCCCTTGGAAGGTGACAAAGTCTTGGGTATGGGAATTCCTCTTTAGTTGTTTTTTCCTTTTTTCCCGCATGATACTTGTATATGACTTTTGTTGGGGCTCTCGCTCTGTTGTGTGCTCGAGGACGAGTGTTGATGTTGTTTCGGTGCAGCGGCTTTTGACAGAGAGCGAGAGAGAGAGAGAGAGAGAGAGTTTGTTTGTCTGTTTGTACGTTTGTGTCGAGTGTCTCCTCTTGTTTTTCTGTTTGTTTGTTTGTTGTTGGTTTTGTTTGTTTTGTGTTGTTTTTGCTTGTTTGGTTTGTTTGTTTGTGGGCGCCTGTGTGCGTGCGTGCGTTGAGACAGCGAGAGAGAGAGAGAGAGAGAGAGAGAGAGAGCGAGAGAGAGAGAGAGAGAGAGAGAGAGAGAGAGAGGGAGGGAGGGAGGGAGGGAGGGAGGGAGAGATGTGTGTGATTGCTTGCGCAGTTGTGAGAGAGAGGGTGTGTGTGTGTGAGAGAGAGAGAGGGCTCGACTGTGATTGCTTGTGCAGCGTCTGTGTGTGTGTGCTTGTCAGAGAGAGGATGAGAGGGAGGGAGAGAGAGAGAGAGAGAGAGAGTTCCCCCGCCAATCCCATTCCTCTCTCTCTCTCTGCCTTTGTTCCCCCCCCCCCGGCATAATGGTACATCAATCCCCATGTACACCAAGGTCAATAGCACAACTCCCAGAAGATGGGGGGGAGAGAGATGCACAACTGTTGGAACTACGGCCATCTGGCCGTGGGTCATAACCTATGCCTCCATTTTGGGGCGGATGAACACCCATGTACCACCTATTTTTTATGTTCAGCAGGGGTACAGGGTTTTGACCCACAGCCATTTGGGTGTTTTTTTGAGGCAAACCATTTTGCGGGGTGCCCGAATCGAATGAACCGAACGCCAGGACGGAGCGGCGGGCGCCAAAGGCGTGCGCGGCATGCGCTTCGCCAGCTCCAAGGTCGGGGCTCGAGTCGATGGAGTGGGCGGTGGTGTTCACATGGATCCGTCCTTTTTCTTGAGGGTGTTTTATGGTGGTTTTAAGGGGGTGCCAAAAGAGGAAACACGATTTTGATGGGTCCCCTAACAACAGACACACCCACACCTCCATGTTTTTTGTTGTTGCTTTCTGAGTTCCCTGATGTTCCGTTTTTAAGAAGTCGGGAACCTTGGCTAAAATCATGTGGAGATTTGCCCATGCTCGCTTGAAACCGACTCCCGTTGCGCATGGGCGCAGACTCGTTTGTTTGACCTAAGCGCCATCGGGCGAGGTATTTGCCGTGGGGACATCGGGTTCTTTTGATACACGTGTTGCTTTTTCTTCAAAATACGGACACCACCGAAATTGGTGGCGTTCCTTTAGTTTCACTTTTGACCAGCAAAAAGGAACCCTCCAAGCAAGACATGCCCAGACAAGCGCAAGACTGGAATCCCATTTGAGAAAGGGAGATGTCGAGTGAACCCAAACAACGACAAGTGCACGTTGCCATAGGGAAGCCTATCCCGCTGGAGCAGAGTCCCTCGGATTTGAGCCGGCCCATCTGGTTGGGGATGTTTGCTTCGAGATGTTTGAGTGAAAGTTCACAGGAGCCGGTATGAGCTATTGTTTGGGCGTGGTGAGTGACCTCCCCGGGCTGCTTGTATAAATCATTCTTTTGCCTCGTTGCACCGGTGACCTTCCAAGAGC